ATTCTTTTCAATGATTTTTTTTTCTTGGGACAATGTGGGTGATGTATACTTCTTGGTGACATTTTTGCTTGAGGAGCAAAATCACTTAAGCAAAACTTATCTTACACTTCTTGTGATACTGAAAGTTGTCTCCACTTGACTATGGGGACCACTCGACGACGAATTTCTTTTTAAAAGGACTAAATTATATCAGTTATTGTTTGGATAAATCCAGATCCAGTAGACTTTGTAACATACCTGTTCTGTCTTGTAGTTTTCACTTTAGGAGAGACCACTTATTTAATTATAGAAGCAGTCTCTGGAGTAGAAAACGCCGCCGGATAGATTGAAGTTCAGTTACAAATGGGATTCCAATATTTCATGACATTAGGAAACACTTGAATTAGGAAACACTTGCTGTCGCTCAGTTTTGGCAGGCATTAACACGAACGCCAATATACGATGTGGTCTTACTAAGTACACGTGCGTCCTTGAGGTGATAGCCATTTCCTTTCTGACAGGAGATTTCATAAAAATAATTGGAAAAGAGTGAATAAAGTAGATTCATTTGGAACTCCTCGATAGGCAAATAACAACGCCAGGAGATGCAGGTCCCAACTATTTGGTTGCTTATGCGTCATACGACGTAAAATGGTTTTTAAAGTGCCATTGAACCGCTCTGCTAAACCACCTGTCTGAGCATGATCAGGACTTCCATGTAACTGTTACATAGAGAGTAGCGTTTTTTCTTCTTCATGAAATTTGAGGTAAAATTAACTCCTCTATCACTGATTATTTCCTCGGGGATTCCTATTTTGAGAGCATGATAATCAATGCCGCGGCCACAGGGATAGTATCAATATGGCGTAGGCCTACTGCTTCCGGATATGGAGTTGCGAAATACACCATTGTCAGTATGCAGCGGAGGCGTTCTCGGTAACTGGATAAACTGAAGCAATTAGGCTGATAGCTTGAACAGAGTGTCAGTCACGGACAATTATTCAAGTTGGACTACTAGAATACGAACTTTATTGACTGGGGTGGGTGGGTGGTTGTTGCAAATGTCACACGAGGCACCATATCGCTTAACATCTATAACCACTCCAGGCCAATGGAATTATTCTAATAAACCTCAACTTATAATACAGTCGTGGTCGGTATGCATGACAGTAGATCGTAATTTAGCTGATACTGCTAAGTGCGAAATGCACTCCTGTGTTAGTTTGTTCCTAAAAATACGGTGTAATAACCGTTTCTTTAGCTGATAGCTGATTACGTGTATCTTTGTTTCCCTACTCTCGCTTGTGTTTGCTTTGGATATTAGCAGAGCTAACGAATGGTCGGTGTTTTGTGATTCCTTTCGCTTTTGGATTGACTTTCAGATGTAAAAACGTGGGACCTTTTATAGAGGGCTTGGTGTTTCCCTATAGCTACCTGAGCTCGTGTCTGTAGTAGGCATGCGCAATGCCTTGATTTTCCAAATTCCAATGGGCATGGTATGATCGACGCCAACAATATTACCTAGGAATAGGGATGGCCCCGAGTGGCCGAGTGGACTAAAGCGCTTAACGTTCCGGATCACTGCCATATCACCTCTGTCTGCGCGTGTTTGAGTCTCAGACTCGGCTAAAGTGGTACGTGAGAAAGCTTGCCGGTAGCTTCTCATAGGTCGGTGGTTCTTCTGGGAAGTTTTCCAGGGTTTTTCCTCCACCAGATATTCTGGCCGTTATGTATATCCAATCTTGTGCTGAAAAGTGGTGTTAAACCATAAAAGTGCAACAACCAAGGATTAGATCGACAATGATGTTATTGGTTACACATGCCTTCACTTTGCCCTTGAAAGACACCATATCTACCGATATTTCTACTACCGGGAATTACGTCACAGGGAACAATCCTAATTTCATCGTTACCGATAGCTGGTTTCTTGCAGTTCCTAACAAAATGTCATGGCTGATTACGCTTCCAACATGTATTCGAGTTAGCTTATCAGCCAGCTTTGTTCGACATGCGAGCCTTAAAATCCTGCAAAGGTATTGTCAACTTCGGTAGGCGCCGAACAAAAGTTTTGACGGAAACCTTCGTCTTAACAGCAAAAACGTTGCAACGACCCTTCTTTTACAACATCATAGTAATGTCGATTTTAATGGCCAAATTATGATACAATGAAAGTGTCCTACCGATCGGCAAGGTGGTAATAAATGTAATCCATGTTATCACGAGGCCGTTTAACATACATGGCATGTTGCTCAACACGATACGAAAACTCATCTGTATAATCTATTTCTTCTCAAAATATAGGTATTTATGGTTTAATATATGAAACCTATTCTTGTCTTGCGGTATCTATTTTTTTTTTTAAATTTTATTATTCCCGTAATAGGTTGACTAATGGTTCGGGGATCCATCCCAAAGTCACCTTACAATCAAAATTTCTTGTTTCCAGATAAAATAGGGAAATAAATATAATCTATATTAAAAGAAAGAAAAAATAAAAGACAACACAACACAAACATGCACTCACTCATGCACACATGGCCCAATGTAGGTGACACAAGCTTTAGAAAATAGTGTTTTGTTCCTGTATACCATTCGATCAGTTACAAGTTACCTATTCATCTACTGAGGTCCATTTCTTAAGAAATTGGTCCTCTTTTTTGTTTATCTTTTAGCAGCATATTTTTCAACGTTCTTATACATTACAACTCTCTGCTTAAAAGCATAGATGGAAGGATTTTGCATATTTAATCTGCAAGTATAAATGTAATATTTTCCCAAAATAAGCAAGAAATTACACAAACTGTCCAGTTGTTTACTTCCTAAAAGTGTTTCTTTTTTTTGACAAATGTACAATATTTGGGCAAGATGGTGCAAAATGACCAATAAAACTGTACCAGAACTGTGAAGTAATATTGCAATCATAGAAGAGATGTTCAATACTTTCATTCTCTCTCTTGCAAAACGTACATTTGTTGTCCTCCAATATGTTTATTCTTTTCAAAAAATCATTAGTAGCGATTATTCTGTGGATTAGTCTAAAGTTAAAAGAGATCAATTTGGTATCCTTGGTACAAAATTTCGCCGTGCTATAAATCTCAGACCACTCCTCACTACTTATATTTGTATTTAATAATTGCATCCAAGATTCTTGCTTAGCAGTATGTTGCCTTTCAGCCCTTTTTAAAAGATGTTTGTAAACAAACTTGAGTGAATTATGTTTTTGCAGGTCCTTTATTTTATCCTCCTGCCTTTCAAAATTATTATGTACTAAATGTTTATTTATGGCATCTTTCCATGCTTTTGGAATTTTGGATATTAAGGAGAAGTATTTCAAGAAGTCACCTCTTCTAGTTTTTTGTTTTATCATTTCAAAAGGTAATAAATTTCCATGATCATCTACTAAATCATTCAAAATTTCAAAACCGGCTTCTGTCCAGGATTTATATTGATAGAACATTCTAGGGGGGGGGTAAATTAGAAATGCTCATGGATAAGAACTCATTTGCACTTTGCGGTTCCTCTTTCCAATAAGATACTGCCAAAATGACATCTTTCCAAAAACTGTTTTTAATGAGCTTACTAAATTCTTCCTATTTCCTTCTCCCTAAGTTCCAAATATCCTTATCATTTCTGAGTATAATTGTATTGACTAAGTTCTGCCAAGCTCCATTTTCATTTTCCAACAATCTTTGTACCCATCTTAGCTTGATATACTTAATAAATGAGAATATATGTATCATATTGAGTCCTCCCTCGTTCTCTGGGGCTACTAATATATCGCGTTTAATTCTCTCTACCTTTCCACTCCATACAAATCTAATTAGTTCTGCTTCAACTTTGGCTGATGGATCTTGCGGTATGGTAAATGCTCTTGGGACTGAATTTTGACTATTTTTTGTTTAATGCTTTTAATTCCAATTTCCTTATCTTTATCTGCTCTATATGCGCTCAATCTTTTTTTTTCTTTAATTCCAATTGCCTTAGGAATTCTAATTCTCTCTCTCTCTCTCTCTCTCTCTCTCTCTCTCTCTCTCTCTCTCTCTCTCTCTCTCTCTCTCTCTCTCTCTCTCTCTCTCTTGTATATGCAGTTATAATTCCTCTGCTTCCTCGTTTGCTTCTGGTAACAGTGTTGTCCCTTTCTCTGCTTCCCGCCTCTTTTTTTGGTCTCAATAATCCTTGCTGTTTAAGTAATTAAGATGTTGGTTTCCTCCAAACCTGATGCCTTTACTTCATCTATTAGGACTTGCCATTAATGAAACAGGCAAGGTTTTTTTTATTTAAAAAATGTGTCAAACTAATACAAGTGAATTGACAGACAAACTAGAGGATTCGAATTAGATAAATATTAGGACAAAGCCTAACAATACTAAAGACAAAGACAAAATGTTACCTATCAGTGACAACTTCATCTTAATTATGAGGCTGAGTACCTGTAGGCGTTTCCTAATGTTATGTTCACTATAACACGGACAGGGACAACATTTTTGTGTGATTAACAGACCTGTCATGCTTGGTGTTCCTGCCTGGTTCGCCAAATGTCACGAATTCCACTACACTTAGAAATCGATGAAAGGAGAGGGTGAATGTTTGGGACAGGCGATAATCACTCAAAGAACGAACACAACCAACGAAAAATAAGGAAATTCAAAGTATTAAAATATAACACAAATAGTTCACACGCTTATTTCCACTACCTGTCTTGATGATTATGCCATGCTAAATGAAATAAGATTAAACGGAACTGATTCAAGTCCTATTATCTAGCTCTATTTGAATTGTATAGTTCCACCATTGTATTGTATTAGAATCTCACCAAAAGTAATTGTCCCAATAGTATCCTGATTCATATATCACGCTACAGTTATGCACGAAGAATGTACAAAGCTTATCATCCATATATATATATATATATATATATATATATATATATATATATATATATATATATATATATATATATATATATATATATAAAATGCTGTTCTCCAAGAGAGGCAAATGTTAGTACCATTTTTATTCTTTGGTATGACTCGGCCGGGGATTAAACCCACGACCTCCCGCATCTGATACGGACGTTCTAACCATTAGGCCACCGTAGCGGTACTAAATAATCGAGAGTGGTATAATTTAAATTGATAATTAAATATGCATGAGGTGTTTGTGTAACATCGATAAGCAAACTTGAGTCAGTGTGCTCTTAACTGTTTGGCTAACACTTGCACTTGAGATTTATCGCTTGAATGCCACACAACAAACATTGAGACTGAAAGTGCTATGTACTTTACATTTTTGAAATAAAATTTGAGTAATGTCAATGATACTGCAATTACGACGATGTCCTTTCTGAACCAATTTTTTTTTTAACGTCTTCTCCTAACATGTCATCGATGATGACATGATGTGTTTATCTAAAGTCAGACACGACTCAATCATTTCACGAGGAATGCTTTCTACAAATTCTCTTTTACTTTCTTGTAGCTGATGTGCAAGCCGGTCGCAACTATTTGTAATACTAGGTGGATAATCTAACAATAATATTTAGTGTCCAATCAAACGTTTGACAAATTTGGTTTTGCCGCAGAGACTCGGCCAAGCAATCGACCCGTTAAAAGCGTCGACGAAGATACAATGTCTCCAACTTCGACGATCTAACTTTTTGTCAATCACTTTGAGTACCGAGAATGCGGCCAGAACAATGGTCCACAGGATTCTGCAATACTGGACATTTAATACATTTTATAAACTGTTTCTTTTTCTTCTCATGGCAAATGTAACAACATCAACATAATCAACTATTTACATTTCAGCGTAAAAGAATTAAAACACGAAAGCACATAATGCGTACATCATTAAGGCACAAATTAAAATGATGCCAGCCGCATTTAAACAAGTAAGATTGCAAATTATTCTGTTTATTATCTTCACATCGAATCTACGTGCACGCTCTGGTGTTCTTTTGGTGTATGTGGAATTCGTTATTCTAATCTCTCAGGAAATGCGATTTCCTCGTGTTTTTTCTTCTTTCTATCAGGACATTGATAGTATTGTAATACAATTAAGGAGATGCGCATTTAGTTTAAGCAATTTGTAGGCTTGTGTGATTACATGTTTGATTATTGGAATTCGTTGCAGTGGGAAATATTCCTTAGCACGAAATAATTAGTCAATTATTAGGAGCAAACGTCACGGAGAGAAAGTGTTAGTGAGATGCCATAGCCAATGAGTAGCGAACTCAGACCCAATCCGCATGACTGTCCCTGTCGTGATATAGCACTTTATAAAAACTAGTGGTATACATCGGTGTTGTGACTGCAGTATTTAATGGTAGTAAACCGGTAAATTACACAATGGAATAAATGAGAAAGGACTCGGTAGATACCGTTTATGTTGCCATAGCGGCAAATGTGATGTAGGTTTACTGGTGTGATGTGCCTTGAAACGGTAGATCGACTGGCCTCAGGTGGGCAGTTAATATATTCCCCCGTGTTATGGGTAGTTGTACAGTTTCTACGGTGTGAATTACAAGCGGAACGGAAAGTTAATATAGAGAAACTGTGGGGCTGTGCGTTTGATGGCTAAATTGCAAGTTGTAAATGATGTGGTCTTGTGTTGATTATTGTAAAATTTATGTATAGAATGGACACATCTGGCTTTCCAACTTACAACTAAAGTTGTATAGAAGTCTTTGGAAATATGGGGTAAACTAATTACGTCTAACGGGATTTGAGCCCAGGGTTTTGACACCGCTCGGTCAAGCAAAAAACCCCTGGCTTGTAACAGTATGTTTGTGGACTTGTAGTATTTCTCCCTCTATATTGGGTTCTTCTCCCACTGTTTCTAAAATTTCACTAATTCCATTTTTACTTTTGACTTTTCGTTTATTCTGAAATCAGATTTCTTTTCTTTGATCAGTGACTCACTTGTTTTTGGCGTAATTAGCCAACTTTTATATCTAAGCATCGAAGCCAAGACTTATCCAATAAGGAAATCTTTCCAGTCGAAAATATGTTGGTGTAACCAACTAGCAACACACTTCTTAATACGTATGAAGTGTCGATAAAGTACGGTGAATGTCTTCTTCATACGGAGGTACACAACCTGCTTTCATCACCATTTACAACACTTTTAAATTAATAAGTCTTTCATGCACAGATACAATTTTGCAGGTCATGTCTTTGCTGCAGGGACTGTTCATATAATTTTCCGCAACCAATTTGCTTGTGAACGAAATCCGAGAAAAGAAGTAAAACACACACAAACATACCCATAAACGCACACTACACGTCGTTCAAACTCACTGAATAGTATGTGAAAAGAGTTCTTGTACAAGTTTGGAATAATACTCAGAGTCCCGAACACTGTCACTGACTTCCTTCCATGGAATTTTCAGCAACACTCAGGATTCAAGTTGTAGCAAGATAATCTTTGATATTAGTTCTTCGCGTGAATGTCTCGTTTTGATGAATTGGCCGCTCTTTTGCCAGATAGTTTATTTGGTAACTTGTATCAAATCAGATTAGTCACCAACTCGCATATCACACGCAGTGAAGAAGTCTCTTCTGGAGGCGATACTTTCTTTTAAAAATGTTTTCTTTTTTTTAATCCTCTAAGTCTTTTTCCTCTGGAATTCTGTGTACCACTGCAACATTGCAGGTAGAAGTCGAGACATAGAAATTCATGATCATTGTGGGCGGTTGATCAATGTCTGGTCATCTGAAAACTTTCAAAATAATAAATTCTCTTATAGAGCCCAGATACCACTGGTGAAAACATCTTTGTCGTAAACGATGCAACTATTCCACTAGAATCAGTACTAGCTCTCTGTACTTGCTTTCTCGTAGCTTAGAAAGCACACTAGGACTTGACTCTTCTAAAGTATCCATATACACAATAATCTTGCCCCACCAAAAGAAGGCAGCGACAAGACAAATATCATCTGGCATGATCCAGGAAAGTTTAATCTTTAATCTCCAATACGTCGATCTTCATGTCACAACTGAAATGCGGTAGGTAGACTCATCCTCTCGAGTAGAATCCGGCTATGGCTAAAGAGTTGGCACTGTATAATCCATTTAGATCTTTAGGCCATTGATTAAACATCTTGATTCGACATTTAAAGTCACAATAGTCAGGCAAAATCACAGGAAACATATTCTTCTTTTAAAACAAAGTCTCGATGAGCTTGAGTAGCAATATTCGAAATGATCTGCGAGTACATGGATGAGATCCATATACCGGTACACTAACCGCATTGCTTTTGTCAGTAAAACAAAATGGTCATGATACATCACTTTCACATCACTTTCGATCGTTGGAGTAGGTAGAAGAGTGGAAAGTTTGTGCTGTATCGCCTATTTCGCAGAAACTTCATTACTCTGGGGCTACCATTAGCAAAACTCAGAATTGTTTCTTCTGAGTGTTCCTCAGTCCATGCTCCTAAAGGGATATTTTTAGTATATGTTGAATGCCTCGAAACCGACCGTAAAGGTTTCAATCTCCGAAACTTTCCAAGGCATCATTTAACTTAATCAGGCATTAGCTGCCACGTATAATGCAGTGATTTTCAACTAGCTCTGGGGAGGGAACTCTGTCCCTTTTTCATAATTAACCAAGACCAAATTTTACAGGATGATTCCCATATGTGTCGTAAGTTTTTCATTGTCGTCCACAACTTGAAAATATCGACTTTGATCTGCCAAGTATTCCGTCTTGGTAATATCCGACGTTGCACCAATTTTCTCCACCAACAATTCAAAATAACTTTGAAAACGATCGTCTTCGTTTGTTCTTTTCCACCTGTTGTGATGGCTACTTGAACTCGGTATCGTTCTTGTACTTCATCTTGTATTTTGGAGTCTGAAACCAAGAAGGATGACGTATTGACATAATACTATGCATAATTTTAAAAATGAAAAGTACAAATAAAAATAATGTTGAACTGGATATGATAAAATGGGATTAATTAAATGTGTGACATCTCCAGTGTCCTAAGTAGTTAGAGCTTCTGCCTCAGATGTGGGAGGTCCTTGTTCACTGACCTGCATCTTAGTTGTTATCAAAAACTTCTAGTTGGGGGCCACTGCCATTTTACCTGAGTCTGCATGGGTTCGAGTCTTAGGCTCAACTAACATGAGTACGTGAGGAAAAAAAGTGATCTTCCTGGAGTTTTCCAGGGTTCTTCCTTCACCAGTTATTCTGGCTGGCATGTATAGCTTATATTTTGCTGAAAAATGGCACTAAACCATACAGCAGCAGAAACAACAACAACAACAACAACAACAACAAACTTCTATGTGAAAAGTATTAATCGTAAATGACTTTTACAATGTCTTTCGAGTTCGAGAAATGGTTCAACAAAAGGAAACGTTAGGTCTGATTATTCCCAGCGGAATAAAATTGTTTTGTTTCTTTTGGGTTTTTCGTTTTTTTTTTGTTTTTTTTTTCTTTCAGTTATGTGGCCCGTTCATTTAAATATTATAGCACGCGACATTCATTTCGGTTTACACCATATCACACTTCAGGGTTGTTTTGTCTACAAATGTCCATCTATTTAACACTGGCTTAGGAGAATACATTTCCTGCGACTGTTATATAATGATTTTGCAAGGAATATTGATCAAGGAGAAAGTGAAATAAACCAATAATCGCCATTTAATGGTATCGGTAACCAAATTCTGAAAATGGCAGTTATAGCTGAAATAGCCGATACAATATGACTACATAATACTCAAGTATTTAGTCACCTGATACTATTTTGTCATTATTTATTCATTTGTTGTTTTTTTTATTTTATTCAGTATTAATTTTTGCAGGATGTAGACTTTTGCTGTGGCAACCTTGTTAGACCAATTATTCTTTAAAAACTGCTTACTTTGTGCATATTAAATTTAATATATGCATAATTAGGTCAAATGGCTAAACTTTGTGATATTTAAAAATTTAAGTTCGTTTTAATGGCACACTCTTTTGATAATGGTGGTTGGGTACTAAATCATTTAAAAATTAAAGTCTCTTTTAATGGCACACTATCTTTTATTAATGGTTGGGTACTAAACCATTTTTAGCCATTATCATCAAAAATATATATTAAGGTAGTCTC